GTAGTAGTAGTAGTAGAGGAGGAAGTAGTAGGTGTAGTAATTGTATCAGTCGCAGTAGTAAATCGTGGTGGTGATGGTAGCAGTGGTGGTGTGTGTGCGTAGACGCGGGAGTGGCAGAGGGGGGCGGGGGGTTCGTTTGCTGGGAGTGGGTGTGGGGAGTGGGGGGCGCGCGAAAACAAGCGCGCTTGTGTTCCTCCCGTGATGGACCACGACCATGACGCCGACGATTACGACCATCATCATTGACAGGGCGAACACAAGCTTCTGCAGCACCTCCAGGAGCACGTACAATGTACAACAACAAACAACAGCACCACAACTTCCAAAAGACACCCACGCGACAAAACATCAACAAATGATGATCCCTGAGGCGGCCACCACCTCCGAGCCTAGCACGAGCTCTTCAACTTCGCCGGAGCCCTCGGTGCCCGCAGAGCCAGGGGCTCAGTGTGAATTTTCTGGGTTCGGGCCTCACGGATTCGGCCTCATGGTCATCGGTTTTGCCGATCCTTGAAACCCCAAAGCCCCGTGCTTCATAGCTCATTGCGTCATCTCTTCACTCCTGGACATGATCGGTCTTTGGAAATATTGCAAGAGTTCTTTTTACTGCATATACAGTTCCCTCCAGGCCGACTACCTGCCGGGACGTGGAGGGCTGGACAGACTTGAGCGACTACCCTTGCGCCGAGCCTTGCTGGATGCAACAGTTTTCCGACTCCGACGATCATTGTCATCACCACCTTTTATCATCATCGTCATCGCCATCCTCAGACGTGAGCTGTGCATGTTCTGAGGAATATGTCCAGCACGGGAGCCTTGTCTGAATCTGATCGAAGGAGGGGTCGGCTTGGGGGGGGGGGCCGCTACAATTGAATTATGAACCTTATGTAGGAACTGCATTATGAAACGAGCTCAACCTAGTGGTTAGTATTCAGTTCCAGTCCAAGAAAAGTAAGTAAAACATACAACTTCAGCAAGCTATTCACAATCGTGCAGTCCGCTGAAAACAATACATATCCTTAGCCTTGGGGGTTTGTTGTCATGGTTTATTAGTTTGCAACATGTTTCTTTTGTGCAGCTTTGTCACGTTTACGTTACGTTTCAACGTGGAGGCGATTTGGAAGAGTATGCATGACCTCAAGCCGTCTAAATCCGAAGACGCAGGCTTCTGCTCTTACGCAGCGTCCAGAGCATTCAATGATGTTTTCACTCTTTCGTGCTGGCAGAACAGTCTGGAGTCCGCGGAATTGGCTCGACGAGCACCACCTCCACATCAAGAGCCGAGGTGGTGTACCAGCACGGGTGCGAAAGGTCCAAACTGGGCAGATGCAACTTGAGAGCACTGCTTTCACGGTTCTTCCGGTTCAGGTTCGTTACTTCGAGACGGAGCTAGGGCGCCGGGCTTCAGGTTGCAGTGTGTGGAGTTCTCCGTCTACCTTGGTTTGGATATGGGAGCAGGGATTGTTGAAACTTGCATCTGGCTCAATTGTGCTGCGCCGAGCTTCGAGAGTTTCAGAAAGACCGGTTCGGTTGCTCGAGTCCTACATGCTGCAAGATTTGCATGGCATTTTAAATTTAGCTCTATTTCAGGGTGGCAGATCGTAAACAAGCAAGCTGAGGTCATGCTGCTGACAACAGTCATTAGATTGAATAGCACAGAGAGAAAGCATTCCTCACATTTTGAGTCATAAGAATTTAACATAAGAATCATCAAGAACGTCATGGTCAGTGTGACAGTCTCGTCGTCACCGCCCTGACTGGTGGCAGACGTTAGCGCCGGAAGTAGTGTCAATAGCAAGGCGAGGAGCAGCATCATCATTCGCAGTAGCCCCAGCAAGAATGCCGAGTAGGGAGGCAGAAGCAGCCGTGGTACTTGCATTGACAATGCTGGCAGCCGCAGCAGCAGCCAGTAGCAGCGATAGCAGTGATCGTTGTCGTAGTAGTAGTGGTAGTAGT